GGCTATTTTAGGAGCATATAAGGAATTCATTAGGTGTGTGATGTTGCATCACACATCATCTTACCTTCATAAGAATTAGTGGAATTTGTTCAACCTATACTACTGGGGAACAACACACTGGGAGAAGAGTAGTTGAAGCAGATGACTTAAGTCATACTCTGTAGAAGATGATTATAACACGGAGTTTTCATGCTTGTTTGACTAGGGATCAGTTCATATTTGTCATGGCTTGCTCTTCCATGTGGTTTCAATACAACGTAGCTTTAGCGCTCTTGACCAGCTTCAACAGAGCTGATTGCAAACTCCTCTGTGATCAGTGGTACTACTTATTTCTGTGAGAGCTATACATGTTATTTGTAAGACTTGCTTAGTGGGGAGGGAAGCCTTGTGTACCTCTGGAGCCTAGGAGGAGCCCAAGAACCACTGGAATTAGCTCAGTCTGCTCCTCCAGAAATTTGGTCCTAAACTGTAACTTAAGTGATTGGACTCCAGACTAATTCATGGTCACCTGAGCCTCTCCTCTGTGAAATAAATGGCTGTTCTAAGGAGTAAGGGGTGGCTGAGCACACTATTAAAGCTAACGCACACCTGAGCTTCATTAAATTGTGCTGCTTAAAAGCAGGCCTGTGCAATGTGGCTTTAGGTTTGTCCCAGTCAAGCTGGTTCCTTCAGAAATCAACTGGCACATGTGCCACACCTGCTCTGCAAAGCTGTTTAGGTGGCTTAGCATAAGCCGTGCCTCTGCCTCCACAGTGCCCTCAGGCAGACAGCAGTCAAAACTGCAATCTAGTTCTGCTTGCTGTGAACTCAGACGGTGGAGTAATCACAGCTGAAAAACAGTCTTCTCAAACAGCACTTGTGTTTACAGCGACTGAATGCTTCAGTAGGTTGCCTAACAAGGGACAAATGATTGTGACCTTTACCTCTGCACAAGGACAAAGCAAACGGCAGCTGTGTTTGCATGAAATGTGTGTTGGGCAGGGTAACAGCACCAACCACCCCTCTGTTTTCCCTCTGAGGCAGTTTTGTACCAACATAACGGTGTGCCTCAAGGGTTCTTCACCCCTTCCTTGTTCCCCAATCCCTGCTGTCTCTAAGGCCGTGCATCTGCAGTCACTTGTATACTGAAATGCAGGCTGATTATATGGCTGTGGCCATTAAAATTGGCGCTTACATTTGCATAGTGACAGTCTGTGCCAGGTTCAACACATCCTGTTGCTTCTTCTAAACCTGTTTGGGGTTTAGGGTGGAAAGCAGCAAGATCCAGTGTAATTGTGAAGGATTACTGTATCCTAGGATCTTTTAACTTTAGCATTACCTTAAGTTTTGGCTCTGCCCGCTTTAGGGAGCGATGCAGCTCAGTGGGTCACACACAGAATGGAAGAGCTGGTACAGATGTCCAGGATGTGTATTGAATTGGTTTTTACTTCAGATTTGCTCAAGTCTGATCCTGTTGACGGAATGCTCACTAGCAACTAGAGCACTTCTGGAAGCCATCTTCTAACTTGCTTTCATTTGAAAGGAAACCAGTTCGTCTGCTCAAAGCCTGCTCTGCAATGTGAACCAAAGCATGGTGAGTGGCAGCTCACCCACTGGAAACATCAGAAGTACACAATAAACAAGAACTTGTTGTTTTCTTTAAACAGCAATTTCCATGAAGTTGTAGTAATCTAACACGGCTGCCATCTGCCGGACCAATAATTCAGGTCTACATTGCTAGCCCTTCCCCAGGCTTGGTAGCTGCTAAGCCTCTCAGTTGCAGCAGTATTTGCAGTATTTAAAAATGAGTTTTCTAAGCACCAAAAAGGTTGGTTGGTTTGTTTTGGGTTTTTTTTCCCCATCAATCTGTGGCCTTCAGTGAATGTGGATGGCAAACCACTTTCTACACTTGTCAGCACTGCTATCAGGTAAGCACAAATTAAAAGGTATGATTCAGTTTTTAAAAAAATCAGTAGATGCCTCTGCGGGCAGTCTTTTAAGTGTGCCTTGAGTTAGTGTTTTATATAAAAGAGCTCTTCAGCAATAAACAGCTAACACAATTTACCATGGTTAAACCAAGTAGCTTGCAATGTATGTAGTGTGTTTGAATAAAACTTAGTGAGGCTTGAGGAATATTCCCAACGTGTTGACAGATGAGCAATGTATGTAGTGTGTTTGAATAAAACTTATTCTTAGTGAGGCTTGAGGAATATTCCTAACATGTTGACAGATGGGGCTGGCATTGATTTAAGTATTCTTTCCCTCTCAGTCTCTTGTTCTCAGTGATTTATGAAAGCTTTCCCAAAATTGTAGTGGCTGGATTTCAAGCTTTTCCTTCCTTGCTGTTTGTTCCCACACAACATTTTACATTTCAGTAAAACAGTCCATAGCGTGACGGAGAATTGGGAAGGGTGCTGGGTTCATCTTCCCCAGTGTTACATTCTTGCAAGTATCCTTAAAACAAGCTACGGCCAGGGAAGCCAAAATGTGACTACTGCATGCCAGAATGCATCCCATACAGACGCTCAGACCCCAAGAAATATTTGTGTTTCAAGCTCACAATCCCCCCATGTATCCTCCATCCCTTCCATAAAGTACAAAGATGAAGGTGCAGTACATGACCACAACTTCATTATTTGAAAAAGAATTCCAAAGTAAAGGTATGGATAACTTTATTAGCAGTAGTGCAAGTGAAACGTGGTTTGTTTAAAACTTACCTGATTCTGTCCAGGGCAGTACAGCTGTGGCCGTATACCTGAAGCCCAGATTAGCATATGTATTTTCTATATGCATCTCATGTTCTGTGCTCTGCTTTTCCTTAAGCAGGTCAGTTCACACGGGCTGAGCCTGCTTAAACTTTTTATTGGGGAGCTCACATTCCTACAGCTTCTGTTTTGTCTCTTGCTTTGTCTGAAGTCTTGTCTAGTCTAATCTGTTAACTGCTGTGCAATGACAATATAACATAATTATAATTGTAATATTGTGTAAAAGTGAAATCTAATTAAAAGACTTTATCTCATAATCATAAATGCAAGTTGGATCTAAGAAAAAAAAGTAAAAGTTCTGTCTTCATATATAGTTGGGTTTTTTCCACAAGCTTTACTTAATTTGCCTTGAGACAAGCAATATCTCTTCCTTCCAGATGCTCAAAATTTGCTAGCAGTATGAGTTTTCCAATCAATACTGACTAGGTTTAATTAAATGCAAGTTTTTGTTATTTGGTGCTAGAAAACAATTTAGATAGCAGTTTAAAAGTCATCAGCATTCAGGCTGTATTATTCCTTTTTATTTGTATGCATGCTAAAGATTTGTACGTCCTAGGTTTAAAAACTAAACTACTTCAGAATTTTAGAAGCAGTAGGGATCAGAAATGAAGCAATTAATAGTAATGTCTTGATATTGGTCAATTTTTAAGACATTTCTTAAGAAAACCCCACAGCCACCTTCTGTCAAGTCTATTTAAAATATGTACAAACACTGGGATTCTGACTCAGTTTTGGAAAAGAATAATGCAAAGGGAATCTGGGTACTGGATTTCTAGCTTCTATTTTCTAAGTGTTCAGTGCTGAGGGCTGTATTTCCTGGGACATTATGAACTTTTTTTGTATGAAGGGACAGGAGTCATTTGCTCCAAGAAGAAAAAAAAATGATGGGGTTACAAGATGTGAAGAGGGAAGCTTCAACAGAAGACTTTTTACCCCAAGATGATGCAGCAGTACAGTGCTTGTACGTACACTGGTTCAGCTCCAGTTCACACTGCAAACAGTTGGCTGTCAGGTCAAAAACAGTGATGAGGTATCACAAAGAATGAGAAACAAAATGGAGGTAAGGGAGTAATTTCTCCCTTCTTCTGCAGCTTACAAATACTCCAGGCTAACATAACTAAAGCAGTTATTTAATTTAGAGTTCTGCAGACATGGCACGGGACTTATATTAGTACTATTGCCAAGGAAAACATGCTGTCCTTGTGCAAGTTAGTGAGACGTTCTTGGTATCTGTCCCTTACCTTTGTAATTCTTGCCATGGCCCAGCGTCTCTCTAGTGAAGCAGACACGCAACATATTGGATTTAATGTTTGATTTGAGATAAAATTGCCTTACCTTTAAAATTAGCCTAGGCAACTCCATGAGACTTGTTTCTTAATCATGATTGCAATTGTGCAAAGTGATTACAGAATGCAAATACATATCAAAGTGGGCTGAAAGCAAATAGCAGGAGTTAGCTGCGATACCCTAAGTAACAAGAGTACTTGGGAGGCAACAGCATGGTTTGTTTTCTATTCAGCAAACTACCTTGATGAAAAATATTTTTCAGCCTTATTTTGCTGTAGTGCATAACATATATCAATTTCTATATATACATATAACTATATACTATTTTTTATTTATGATAAAGCATTGCATCTTGCTTCTCTTGCTGGGTTAGAAGCAGCATGCTTCCACCGTCAAATGCTACTGTTCAACTGTCCGAAATAATTAAAAACAGACCATTTGCAATGTATGTCAAATAACAGGCTGTACAATGTTATTATATTCATTTTTGCTATAAGCTATTCAATAGGATCTATGTTTGCTTAGAATGAGTAAACATTAACATCAGAGATTTTATTAACAAGTTCAGAAGAAGAACAAAGGTCACACTGATTTCAGTAAAACAGAAATCAATCTCCTTCAACTAGAACAGCTGGTAGGAATATGAACTCCTAGAAAATTCTGAATACTTTAAAGATCTTGAAATACTGAGTACTCCATCCTCTAGAGATTAGTATGAGCCCAGTTCTGCTACACTATAGTAATTTAATACTGTACATTAAAAAAATCCTCATCACCAGTGAATATGGCTCCTTGAACAGCCTCACTGGTAAGCAGCTGTAGTGTTGCACATGGTAAATTTTCCCTAAAAACCCCCACAAATCGCACTGGGCCTCGGTTTTCAGTGGTTGATTCTATGTACAAGACTGACTGTAGGATTGGAGAGGAATGCATCCAAGGAGAAGAGCGAATAACAGACACAGCTGAGCATGTCAGCGTTGTACTCGGAACAGGCAGTTTCCATCCATATGTGATACAGTTCAAGTGTCAGAAGCAGAAAAAGTCAATAAACACAGTACAAGCCACGTCTCTGGCCCTCTACAGAAACAGCTGTACATAAACCAGCTTCTCCAGCACTGCACAATGCAAAGGTTAACACAAAGTGTATCAACTGCACCTGCCACAAACCTCATCATACAACTGCGTAGGTATACAACATCTTTTGAGCCAGTCTCAGATTTCCACTGCTCTGATAAATAAGTGACAAGTTAAAGGCAGTATCTCTTCTCAAGTCTGTCTGATCAGTTTCTATTCCCTGTAAAAATAATGATTTACAAAAGTTATCTACATGCAAAAATAGTATAAAACTTGAAACATGAGTAGCAATTACAGTGGAATCAAATCACATATTCATGGTTTATGTAGGCTTTCAGCTGTACAGAAACAAAATAAGTATTCCTTGTGGCCTGCCTCTCTAATGAGTTTCCAAGTGGTGTTAATCACCAGTGTTACATAACTGCATACTCAAAACATTAGCTGTAAATTAGATAGCCAACTCATAAAACAGGAAAGTAGTATCTTAATTTGTCTTTGTATGCAAAGTATTTGTTTCTGTAATCAGAATGCAAATGCTGCCTGTATCTTCCACACGGTCAATAGGCTGCTGCTGCTTTGAACTCCCAGCGCTGACTAACACCCATGGTTCCTACTTACCAGCCCCTCCTGTTTTCTAAATACACTTGTAAGTTTTCTACCCAGCCATGCCAAAGCTGGGCAAAAACTCTCTCAAACCAGACTTTTAAATGTATGACACAACAATTAGGATGATCTAATATAGATCCATCAGAGCAAAACCATGGCTGAGCTGCACTTGAGCATTCTTGATACTGGTTCATATTGCCCCAGCATGCTGGTTTATAGTATATAAACTATACAGAGTATGCAGAAGTTCCCATTATAATTTAGTGCATGTAATATATATAAAGTTCAGCTGCTTATTCAGGTAAAGTTGTTTAGCAGCCCTTTTTGCTACTACTTCACCTATTAGTAAATGCTTCAAAAATCCCAAACCTGTGAGGTTAACATACACATAAGTGCATTAGCAGGTGACCATCAGATTCGAGCTTCCAACGACAGAGAGTTACAATACAAATTAAAGGAAACTCAACTACACAGATGTTATGTACCTATTTTAACTATGGCTGAGAAATTATTAATATTGACCTGACTTTATTCTCTGCACTTAACTTACAAAGATACAGTACCTCTAAGGTGAGAGGAGGGAGGTCAAGTACTTTTTGGTAATAGTGGATTGCCAGGTGCAGTAATCCCAGCTGGTGAAGGCCACGGCCAAGGTTGTAGAAAGACTCTTGACAAGGTCCGCGCAGGTCCAAGTACCGGTGCAGGAAGGAGAATCCCTGTACAGATATTACGCACACTTGTGAATGTTCCCTTTAAGAAGATGGCAGTACAAGTGCTGGAGAGCAGGTGTTTAAATGGATCTATTTTAACTTTTGATCCACAAAGCCATATGCAAGTTGAAGGCAAAAGCAAGTCACATTTGATTGTTGAGACTGTAAAAAAGTGCTCTGTCAGTCTCACTGCCATTGCTAACAACAGGTGGATCTTTTTAATAAATTGAACACACAGTTATTCAGTAGACTGACTTACGGCACTAACTTACTAAATATATAAGTATGTATGTGTGTGTTTATGTAATATACACACATCAGACTGGTTCATGTTCAGAAGAGCTGACTACCTTAAAAAAACATGCAGCCAAAGGACAGGCTAGAGCAAGACCTTACCTAAAAAAAATAAATAAAAAATTAAAAGATAACCCTCCCCACTTTAAAAAAAAACCACAAAAGAACACAAAAATCCCAAATATTCATTCCTTTTCCTTGACTCTTTGCCTTGGATAGCAGCAAGAAATGGTTTAATTCTACAGCCTTTCAGAATTATACAAAATTCTGAACTCCATCATGAAGTACCTATCAAAGTATTATTTCTGGAATGCAAGCGTATTATTTTCTCGATCTTGTGCTCCACATAAATATTTACTGCAAAACCAGTTATCAGGGAAATTACCAGTAGATCATTTTATAAAGTGGCCAAAAATAAACATCACTGAATAAGGGCACGAAAAATTCATATATCCTAAGCAGTAGGCAAGAGTTCATGGCCCTTCTCGAAGCCAGTAAATGTTTCACTGCCAAGTCTCCAGCAGAATGTGAAAGGAAACTCGTACCCAGCAATTGCAGTGCTGTGCCTTAACAAATTTAAAGTCAAAGCACTCCACAAGTGTTATACTTTCTTCTTTTGCTTTTAGTTTATAATGAGAATATATGCTTATATATTTAAACTACATGACTAGCAGAATGTCAGGCATACATAATTTGTTGCCAGTCTTAGTCAGAATACCCACTCCTCCTGTGTGGCATGTTGTGGATCAGACAGAGGAGCAGTTCCCAACAGGGACTATCTGGGTGCTGATGTCCCAGAAGACGTAGAACAGGGCAATGCATAAAGTGACAGTGCCCAGGCACCAGAGGAACAAATCAGTCTCATTTACACACTGACATGCTGTAAAGTGAGAGAAGTGATTTTTTTCTCATCTGAAGGATGTCACTGCCTACCAGCTGCGTATGTTATACTCTTCATGGCTTCAGGTTTCTATGCTGCTGCAAGATGAAGGGCATTAGACCAGAGCTACTTCCCATACAGAACAAAAGGAAAGACCAAGAGGCATACAGTGTGATCTTACATTAAAATGCAATGTTTCATTGGACACTGACGGAGCCCTGGGGGAAACTTAGGGGGGACAGACAGAAGAGGTGAGAAATCAAGCACATGGCTTTTTCATCCTCTTCCCACACATTTCATTTTGTTACCACTTTGGAATGCGATTATTCTGTTGTAGACAGAGGACTGACTTTCTAGGGACCATGATGGTAATCAGAGAAGATAGCTCCTTCAACATAAGGAATCAGTTCAGACACAAGCAGCTAATGATCATAATTTAGGTCGTCAGTATGTCACTGTGTCTGAATCATTAATCAACTACCACAGGAGCAAGAGAGGATGTAAAAATACCAGGTACAGCAAGCAAGAAATGAGAAGAGAGAAAGTGGGGAACTGTATCACCAGAGGGTAACATAAACAGGACACTGTTCAAGTATGTTACAAAAGGAGAATGTAGCAGCTCATACAAGAAAGACAGGCTGATTACAGAAAGAAGTGGATAAAAATACTAGAATTAGGCCAAAGTTTGCAAGTTCAGAATGTCTTAAGTTGGTTACTGACATAACGGGTCTTGTTTAGAGCAGCTGAGGACCTGCAGCTTTTGTACAAAGCAGTGCAAGCTACAGCTTTTCAGCAATTTCAGAAGTCATCAGAGCTCAGGATCCTCACCATATTCTGCTAACTCTGAGCTTGGCGGCCACAGGAATTAAAAGGTATTTCAAGTTAATTAGAATACTTGGTGGAGAGAAGAATAAATTACTTTCAAGATTCTGTTTGGGAATAATCAGCCTGGTGTTTATAACTGGATTGGCAGGTGAAAGAAAAATGGGCATAAGGAAGGTGAAAAATTGAGAGTAGGCTAAACTGGAGTTCACAAGGTCTTCACAAAGAGAGCTACAACAGGCACCCAAAAGAGGCAAGAGAAATGGAAGACAGGGGAAAAAAAAAAACAAACCACTTCCTAAGTCTGTAAAGTTTGCTCCAACCACGCACTTAATAAGACATCTCTGTGAAGGGCAGATGGCACAGACTTTACAGCACTTACTCAGAGCAAGGCAGGGCAAGAAGAAAAATCTGGAAGAAAATCCAGAACACAGCCATCAAGACTGAAATTAGCAATATTTTCACAAGCAGCTGGCAGCTGCTAACATCTATGTGAGTAATGATCGTATACACAGAGCAGAACAAGCTACATTTAACTGGAAGGAGAGGAGATTCAGATGGGTGTAATCATAGTTCAATAGCATACTCATCTGTGCTCGTGTTTTGCCACTTCCCTCCTTTTTATTAATTATGAAAAGTGATTTAAACAGTGGATGTTGTAGCCATAACTGCAAGATACCAAGCTAGGAAACACTACCAGTAAAAATAATCCCACTCTCTCACCTGTACTAGAAGAGCATGCCTTTTCAACACGTATTTCTGAGAAGCCATGTGGATGAAAGTCAAGCCAATACAAAGACTGTACAGAGGTTCAGCTGGGTTTGCACGAAAGGCTTGCACGTACTGTCCTAAAAGCAAATTATTGAATCAGGATGTTTGTTGTGAAAAGCATTCCTGAAGAATTTAAGAGCAAAAAAGAAAACCTTCAAATTAGAAGTGTGAACTAAGAAAAAAAACAGTTTAATATTCCTACATCAAAATACACAGGAAAAAAACATGAAAGAAAAATTTGTATTTTAAGCACTCCTTGGCTTCTGAAGGAAAAATGCAAACTGTGATGTCCAAAGAGAATCAGACGCAGAAGACAAACAAGGTCCTTGCTGGGATTTATATCCTGGAGGCCATACATCTTAAGTGTGACATTTGGAGGGCTTGACTGAAAGCAGAAGGTTTACGTCAAAGGCCTGCTTAAAATGTCAAAACAATTTTATTTGCTGTTTAAATCGGTCTGTTTCTGTCCTTCTTTTTCTTTATTATCCTGACCCTTCAATTATCTTTGCAAGTTGGTTATATTTGCAATGTGTGCTAAACTTGAAACATACCAGCTTAATTTTTATCAGCAAAACTCTTTAGCAATGCTTTAATTTGTGTACAAATTAATTAAAGCACCAGACCTAACACTGTGAAGCCACCTGTAATTTCTGATGTATGAAAAATAAAGTAATAAATCTTTCTCTGAAAAAAAAAAAAAAAAAACCAAAACCATTTATTTTTTTTTTTTTTTAATATTTAGAACATTAATGAAATTACCAAGAGCATGCTTGAAACTGCCAGACACAAACGCATTATGCCCGTTTAGGACACACAATGCGTGATTATCAGGATTTTTCAGCATTAAGCGGAGACAAAAGCGATGGTGACGGACATCCTGAGATTGCATAGTAACTTGATTGAATATGTTCCATAGCTGAGGTTTATTGACATTTTCCATTACCATGATTCTACAGAATGAAAAGTATACAAGAAATTAGTAAACACAACAACAAATACTGTATCTGTAATAGAACCTCAACAGCCCAGGGAGGATAACAAAGAAGAGACACTTGAGGGGCAGGTGAGGCAAAGTTGAGAGTGAAAGACAGAACCAGTGGTTCTTGCCAAATCAGCCAACCTACTGCATTCTGCATGTTTTGGAATCAAAGGCTATCAGAAAGCTCCTTTAGCTTCAACAGCCTTATCTGATTTAGGAAAGCATCAGCCTGCCTCCTTTAGCAACATTTTCAGCAGCATGACTACAGCCTCAGCGGAAGCAACTACCGAAGAGATTGCTCTGCCTTCTCAGTACCCCACCTGATGTAGTTGTACGCTTTTCTGAAGTTCTTGTCCAGAATGGCAGCAGAGAGCCCAAAGTATTCCAGCTCCTTGCGCTTTTGTCTATCATCGTAAAATGAATAATATTCCAATGAGGAATCCACTAGTAGCTCTGCCTCCTTGTACCGGGAGAGGTCACACAAGGAATATATAGCCTTCAGGAGGAGGTTCCACCAGTCATCTTTTGTCAGAACGCTCGTGAGAACAGCAAAAATTGCTAAAAATATTGAAGTCAGTAAGTTGAGAAAATTAAAAGGAGAGAGCTGAACTTTTAAAAGGTACATACGTCAAACTGATCTTTTCAAAAACTCTCAGCAATAACTCTCAGGTAAAATGTAAAATATTTACTTTTTTCAGTTTAAGTGTAGTTTGTAAAATACCAGCAAAAAAACCAGTCAAAACTTGGAACAAATGGCAAGAAATACACACAGTTCAAGTTGTAAACATACTACATGAATGCATTATGGTTACTCTTCCTAATCTACCTAATGGTGTTTAAGAATCTGTAGTCTGGCTCAACTAAGTCTGGGACAGTTTAAAAAAAAATCACACCACTTAAAAAATGTGTTTCTGTTATGTTCTAGATTTGTGTGTATTATATTTGCACTGAGGAGAATGTTGGATCACATGATCTCTAGAGGTCCTTCTCAATCTAAATTATTCTGTCATCTTACTATTTTACTCTGAATGGGGATTGTTCCCTTAAGTTATGTTACCTTGATTTTTGATGCCTTCTTTGTCCTAGAAATAAAGCAACGTTAACATGAACTGCACAGATTCAGCATGCACAATAGTTACGTTTACTTCATTGTTCACAACTAAGGAGTTCATCTTGTTGCTTTGTTTTTAATAAATATTTGTTACCTTTCGCATCACAATTTGCTGTCTCTTGGTCGTCATTGTCAGAAATTTTATCCCTTGACACCTTAATAAGATAGAGGTGTCTCTCTCCAGACTTGGAACTAGATATCAAACACACCTGAGCTCTGCTCATTGCTACCTAGAAACAAATTTAAGGGAAGCATTTCAGATTACATTCATACATCCTATGACAAAGGCAGCTCTGTGGCCAATCCATCTTGCTCACATTGCATGCCAAAACAGTCTGCAGCTTAGAAATGCAACAACAGAGCAAGATCATGAGACAGAACATTCCCAAGAGAAGCATTATCTCTGCATTGTCTCATGCTCCAGTGCAAACTGGGCTATGCAAAAGAAAGACACAAACTCTTTAAATGACTTAAAAGACTTTTCCTGGGATTGGAGCATTCCTGTGCATGCTGAAATCAAAACTCTTTGCACAGAGGCATAACAAGAACAATGCCTTTCTGTAGCAGTTTCAGAAATACATGAATAGTCAGCTATGCAACCAGTGAAATACAATAGTAATGGCTCTGACCAGACGGATAAAATTGAGGTCTAAATATTCCCCTTCCTCACTCCCTATTTAAAAAGAAACAAACAAAAATTAACACAAAACCCACCACCATTGTATATACTGGTTAAACAAATTCTTCTTTGCTCATTTTATCACAAGAAAATATATATTTTTTTTTTAAATTAAGAAATTCAAAAGAAAATTGTTGACATAGAAGCCAGTATCAACATTTCAAGAAAGCACTAAACTGACTGCTGAAAAGGTAGGAAGCCACTTTAGTATTCAGTGTGTTCTGTGAACACTGAGAAACAGGGACTGGAAGTCACTGTACTAAGAACTATACACACAAGCAGTCCTCTATTCTGAACACTATACACAGGATAGAGACTCCCTGCAAGGTTATTATCTAACAAAATTATGAAACTATTTGCACATATAAAAAACCACTAGCTTTCCTCCCGAGTTTGTTTGTCACTTGTCTTAACCCAACTCACAGCTGTCCAGTGTCTTAAAGTGTAGCTGTAAGACTGGCTTACCTTCAACAGCATGGCCAGCATTGTAAGTAAAGTGTCGATGTAACCGTACATTTTCCCTTGGGAATACAACAGTGTCGAACGATGGAGGAGCAGCTTTAATTCCTAGATAATAATGAACATTATTATTCAACCTCTTGCACAGAGAGTGAGTTTATAAAACAAACAATTTTGACTCAATACAGTACTAATAGGATTGTAAAAGCTCCTAGAAAGCTGTAAGAATCTTAGCAGCAGTAGGTAAGATCTCCCTAAACTGCCCTGCAGTAATTACTGTTTCAAATTCTCAAATTTCAGAGATATTTGGCACAACTCTTACTACAGTGAAGTGCTGCTGCAGAGGGAATGCAGAGCCTTTGCTACACCATCAGTTACAATCAGCAGAGGCCAAACCATGTAGCTTGTACGTAGCAACTGCTGATCAACTTGATGCAAAGTGACTGACGTCAAGACTGGCTCTCAGTGGCCAAGAGGTTGTACCTCACACAAAAACAAACAGGTGGGACAGGGGAAATACTGATAAAATGGTCAGGGAGAAAAAGCCACGAGAACTCACCCCTGGTACTCCGTGCTCTGAAGGCTCATCATGCTCTAGATAAGTAAGTCTCAATCCCTGGTCCTATATAGTTGACATACTTCAAGCCTACCATAGTTTAACAGACTAATATAGCCTACACTGGAAGCACAGAACACTACACCCACCTGCTGGGCAGCGTTAGCATCCTGAGCCAGTGTATCTGGATCATACATCGGTTCCAGAGCCTCCAGAGCTTTTTCAGGTCGGCCCAGCTGCTGCTGAAGCGTTGAAAGTGAGATTCTTGCATCCAGATGTAATGGAGCAAGATCAACAACTTTGGCATAGCTCTCAGCAGCACGTTCCATGTGTCCCAAAGCCTTCAAGCACTCTACAAATACCATAAACAACACAATACACTTAAATGGCAGAAAAAGAAGGTTTCAAAGCTTGCAAAATCATTAACATATTTTTCAGATACTTTTTCAGATAAAACCATCAAACATGTATTATTAAAGTGAAAATATTCAGAAATAGGTACTGATGCACACACAGTTTCCTTTAAAATATCATCAGTTGACACAGGATGGAATGCAGAATAGATGCTGTTTCACTTACACAAAAATTAAGTATTTTTAGCCAAATTCAGCCTATATGAAGAACAAGAAAATGCTCCATGACAGGGTTCTCATAATAAACTCCAACTGTAGTTTTGCAAATACCAATTATCATTCCATATGTGAATCTAAAATTCCCATGATCTTAGATAAAGGTCTCTGGAAATACTCAGCACTGTATTATCATCTCTCAGTACCACATTTCAGCAGTCCTGCTTATTCTCACCCGCATGCCGAAGCCAGACAACAGCCAAGTTGTATCGTTCTGAACAGACAAGGGAACTCAAGAGAGGCAGTGCTGAGTTGTATTCTCCAACATCCAGAAATGCCTCTGCAACATCCAAATACAAGTCACCCATTTCTTCTGGATTTTGTTCCACCAGAGTGGTCAAGAGAGTCTTTAAAAAAACACACAAAACTCTAAAAGCACAAATAACCAATGAGAACATTTCTTTAAGGTATGGTTATTGGAAGCTTACATTTTTATGCTATGATTTCTATTCCATTTGCATTCTGAACTGCACTTCCTTTATTTAAATGTTAGTTTAAAAGTTAAAAAATAAAGATCTGAATTTCAGAACTCTGGAAAAAGCCACACATTTCTATTCTAGACATTTCACATCCAATGGCTGAAAGTGCCATCAGTGAGGAGTGCTCTTTATGAAAGAACAGCCTTCAGATTTAGTAGGGCTTTAAAATGAAAGCGAAGATGTGCTCCTTAGCATCCAATAACTTCGCAATGTGGTCCTGGGCCTGTCACAGCGCACAGGCTGTGATATATTGTGCTTAAGTGATACTTCCACTGGAGGCATAATTTATAAGGACAAAAATAGTATCTCTGCTATTGCAGGTTTGCTAGGTTTCTCTCTTGGTGTGGGAGGGAAGCAAAAAGAATCTCCACAGCTCTCTCTCAACAACCACAGTCATATGAAGACAGGAAAAATTACTTGCTTTGGTAATTTATTAGAACATTCTCTAACTTCTGAGTTGGTTTGTACTTACATTGAGTGGCTCTAGGATGTTCAAGTGAACCAAGCACACCATCAGCTTGACCGTGATGTCTATGGGAACGCCCTCGGGTATGCAACAGCTGACCTTCTGCACAGCTGTGAGAAGATAAATAATTTCTTTCTGAACCCACAGGCTTTAACAAGCACTTCACAAGCTCCACATCCCCTCCAGGCCACCTTCAGCTCCACCGAAGAAAGTGTATTCTCATTGACTCTAGCAAATGTTGGTGCAGGCCTGGCCTCTCCCCTTCTTTTAGATCTTTCCTGATAGATGGAACAACTTCTTCCTACTGTCTCTGATCCTAATAACTTCACCTGAAGTATCAACTGCTGTCAGTCTGCATCAAGTTCAACAGCAGGATCCCACAGGATGTGCGTAGAGCCTTCACCCTCCCAAGATGTGCTTGCTTCATAAAGCTTTCCTTTACCCATTTATCCACCTGTACCCTCTTCTCCTTGCTTTCTGAAGGAAATACCCTCTATTACAGTATTGGTTCTTAAGAAGTGAAGTCCTGTGTACCAGGAATGTGGCTGTATACATTGCTAAACTGCAGGGAGAACTTACACAACACAGAGACCAAATGCAATCTGATGAGAGTGCAAATAGGAGACGAAGCAGTTACCCATGGCAATGCTAGCAAATCTAAAGTCACACAGTAAAACTCCGTTATTATATTTCCTTCCCACGCAGTCATGACACCTCCTTAACCACACTGTTTAAGTTCTCCTTCAACTTACATTTTTACACCAGACATTTAATGGGTGAATTCTATAACCTGAGAAACTGTGATTTCCAACATAAGGCTTCCCTATTACCTTCTACATCCACATCCAACTTACTGCCAATCACAACATGTTAGATTAATTCATCATTCTTTGAACATCTTAACACCCAGCATAAGAGTCACTATTCACCTGATGATAAATTCCTACAAAATCAAAAATTTTATTTTCAAAGTGGGTAAGCCCTGGGAGAATGCTTTTGGCGTTGGTGGCTGGCTGGGTTAGAAGTAAGTTCTGAGCAAGGAAGACAGTAGTCAAGAAACCTTTTCTGGATGGAGCCTTATTTCTCTCCTGTTAGAAATCTTTTCCAATTTTAATGACTGCATTTCTGGTTCCTGAGCTTATGACCAGTTCATAGACTTGTACAAAATTAAAAAAAAAATAAAAAGTACTTACCTGCAGCACTGGATTCAGCCGCTGCATGGCTTTGGTCATCAGTCGTTGCCTCCTGGCTTTCCTGAGTTTCCACCGTCCCTGTATCTTTTTAAAGAGATTAACAGATTACATTAGTAGCACCAGCTAAACCAAAAGTTAATTGCTTTTGAATCTATAATCGATTAGTAGCTTACTCTGAAAAGTGGAGCAGGAAGCATTGGAAAAAGGTTATAAATCAACAGAGGGCAGAGAACCAAGCTCTTGGGTAGTTCAGAAGCTTTCTCTTAAGAAATTACACACCCCAAGTAACTTGGCAACGCTGTTATAATTCCTAGACTCATTATAGCTTTGCTTCTTACAACTTATATGTTAAAAGTCACTATCAGGACAATTGTTCATTGATCAACTGTATTTTTACCTGGTCCATTAAAGCAAAAAGCCAACAGAAGTACCTTATACCTACTCTCGGTTTGTACCAGATTGCTGACACCACCAACCAGTTTAATCATAGAACAGACTGCCTGCTTATGGAGTTGGTACACTGTAATCAGTCTACAGTCCAAACAAACATTTTCAGACTTAAGCAACAGCTTTCTCAAAGCAGGTTTCTCAAAGACAACCTATTTTTTTCAGTTGCAGGCTAACACCCCTAGATTTGTATATACCAAAACATTTAAATGTTTAGTAACAGGAGTAGGATCTATGAAGAATATTAGTCTCAGGTCAAAGGTTGATATTCTTGAGCAGAGATGCCACTGAGCTTATCTAATTTTTTTTTTCAGAAGCTATTTAGCTGGCAGAAATAACTAGTCTGATGTGAACACTCAGAGGAATGTTTAGAACCTTAAAAGGCCTCCAGTTGCCTGGAGAGCAGTCCTTGTCCTTAATGAGTCAGCAGGGCTAATTGGACATCAGAGTAACTCCTTATAGAAAGCTGAGGTCATGCCATGGAACTCATTAAAAACATTGAAAAGTTTCAAAAGAGAAAAGCCTGTCAAGACACCAAAATATACCCATGAGCCAAAAAGGTAACGGAAAGAAAGATGAACAACAGGGTCATACCAACCGCTTGTTAGCTACTTACCTTTTTTCTCCTCAGTTGGACATTTTTCTGATACTTTCTTTTCAAGTACAATTCCTGTAAAATCTGTAATAACCTAAAACAGACGAGTAACTTGGATCATTTTAAAGATTTAAAGGATATATGGAATAATCAGTCTACATGGCAGTTGTTTTAGACATCACAAAACTTATGAGAAGAAAAGCTGCATTCATTTCATAGGAGGTGAATTAACTAGTATTGAGTTTGATCATCTTATGTCCTTGCCCACTGTTTTTGGGCTACTTAGGTGATCCAGACAGCATCTCTTCAGCAAATACAACAGTTATTTTCATCACAATCATAAAAGTTTTTAACCTTTAGAGCTTCTTTTAATGCTTTTTGGAAGACAGAAAAAGAAAGCAAAGCACCAGGTAAACAGCTAAGCTCTCCACAGATCTTTCCAAAGTGCTCTAAGGATTCCTCAGCCTAATGCACTGCCAGGAAACTGTACGGTTTGTCTCCGTTAAAAAAAAAAAATAAATAAATAAATAAATTCACAGCTACATATGGACATTTTACAACAGTCCTGGTCAGACATGTCATGACCTCATTAAAACTAGTGTAATTCAACAGAACAACTAATTAAAAAAATAAAAATCAAAGACAATTCACTTGCCAATGGGGAGCTGCGAGGGGGGAAATGCACAAGTGTAAAGGACTGTTGGTCTAAGACCCAATACAGTTCGGTATTTTTGTTCATTAATTGTAAAGTAAATATTTAAGTCATTACTGTTGCCAAAACAAGAGGGATAAACACAGAGTACATGGCCCTTAGAGGAACATACCAGATGATTGTATTAAGGTAATTATTTGTTAAGGGTTCAATTTACCAGCTCAAATAGAGATTCAGCTATCTAGGAAGAAGAATCACAGGAACAGACCTGAGGAGAACCATCAAGAACAAACAGGGGAACAGTTCTATGACTGAGTACTGTATTAATAAATCTGGCAGATGAATACTGTGTACATAATATTGTCTGATTTTTAAAATGGGAAGAAGTACAGAGAAGGGTCAGAGAAATTGTTTGCAGGCTAGTGACACCTTACATGGATGGAGAGATACCTAAATAAAATCTTAAGGAGAAAATAAAAAGAGGTAATTAATATTAGCAAATAAGAACGTTCACAAGAAGAAAGTCCCAACTGTTAGTGTCTCTTCAGTCCACCTGGGAAAACATAACAATGGCCAGATCCTAAAGACTTTCCTCTCAAAGCCAGACCAAATCAACTGGGAAACACGCCTCAAAGGTGAGGGTTAAAAGTCACTAGAACAAATTTGGAATGAACAGGTAAACTATCTTCTCCAATTCCCGATGCCTTAGAGTCAAGACGTATTGTCTTTCTGGAATACGTGTTTGATGTCGAATGCATCAATTATTAGCCACAAGGTAAGTATGCCAGATAAAGCACAATATTGGAACCACTAGACCATTCCACATCCCCCTTTCAAACTTCAACTTAGAGAATGGCCTTTGCTGGTAGCACTCACAAAACCAGCTCGTAGGTCTTCTCTGGCTACTAAGGTTATGGCAACTGTAGAGAAGGAGAGGAAGGATGCCAAAATTTTAAACCTGGAACAGCATATGAGTCTAACAGCTCCTAACCTATTAAATCAAGCTGTTAACTTCAATGCTAATTACTTCAGAACTAATAGAAAGCAATCTGTATCTGATCAGCTCTATCACTATAGAAGCATGACCATATATAAACTGTCCCTCCGACTGGAAAAGAGGTGTTGAACACAACACAGAAATGCATTTGATTCTCCATACCGCCAACGCTTTGTCATACTGCTTGGAAGAAATATATAGTTCAGCTGCGATATTAACGTCTTCCATGGAGACAAGGCTCTGGTGTTTAGTTAAGGCTTCTTCTATTATCTCAATAGCAGAGGTCACATCATTGGCTTCATAATAACTCCTATAAAACACAGACATGATAGACTTAAGTATTTAAGATAAATGACAGTATGTACTTTGAACATTAGCAAAATGATTTTCATCTTTTATTTTTGTCTATTTCCAAATATTTTTGTTACAAAAGACAGTGAGAAAGAGAGTATTTTTCTTTTCTTACAGCTGTTGACAATTCTTATGTATTTCAAATAATTACGATTATTTTCTGCCTTGTATGTTAGGACATTACTGGAATTTTCATTACAATATCCCCCACCTCAAGCCAGGTATCGATGTACTGCATTAAGCTGGTTTCAGAAAAGTCTTCAATAATAATATTGTTACAATACACTTCCTTGCACTTTTTTGGTGCTTTTCACAACCATGAAGTTCAAAAGACTTAAACTGCTTTGAAACAGGCCAGTGACAGCTTTCTGCAAGATATGCATGAGAAAGCTGAGACATAAAGTAGTTAAACAACTTACTAAAAACTATGATAAGAGAGCTACACCACAAGCCTCCTCTGTCTCAGGCAAGGTTCTATGACTTGATCTGCTCTCAGTAGCAGAAAAGGGGAGGAGGCAGACTTTTACTTGCTCCAGAAATGAATCACAAATTACTTAAGAACTACATTCTGTTGCAGATGGTTTGTGTTTCAGATTGAATAGTTTGTTTCATGCAGATTTGCTGGCGATAAGTTCCCAGGTCTCTAGTGATATTACACAGATGAAAAACGTATTGCATTTGTATGCCATTGGCATTTTTTCAGTAATTAGTACGTGCATTTTATTCTCTTACCTAAGAGAACACAACACTTCTAAGATGATTTATTGATCCTACACAGGAGAATTTCCACACCTCAGGCTTCAGAAACATCACAATAGTTGGGGGGGTGCACGCTTGTGTGTGGGTCACCCCCAACATTCCTTGATTTCAGCTACATGCCCAGCTTGAATCAGCTGCAAAGCTTATTAAGACTAATGTTTGAGAAACTCTGGAAAACCAAATCACACTGTTTTTAAGTCCAACTTACTTTGCCATGTCTCTAGCCAACTGCATGAAGCGCTCTCCATCAGAGGGAGACAGGAGATTCAAAATACGCCTGTAGCCATCCATAGCCATCTTATGTTCCCCCAGCTGTTCATACAGGCTTGATCTTTCCCATAGATAACGCACGTTGGTTGGGTCGTATTTCAGAGCTACAAGAAGAAAAAGCCTATTAGTAGCCTAGTTCAGGAAAAGGTAACAATGGACTAGATGAATTTGAATGGACATGCACAAGCTTTTTGTAAGAAAAGCACATCCTATATTAAAGATTCCTGACTCTTTCACCAAAGTCTGGACAGACGTACCAGAATCTTAGCAAACTGCAACAAACTGAATTAGAAAGCAGAAGAAAACAAAATTATTACCATTAGCACCTTTCATTTATTTTTAAATATTAAAATGATGGTTACACTACCTTTTGTGTAGCAAAAAACAGCCTGTTTAATATTGTCCTGTTCCAGTGACATTTCTGCTAGTCTAACCCATTCCTCAGTATCACTAGGATTTAAGTGAGCTGCAATCAGTTCAAACTGTAACGACTTCTCCATATCACCCTGGTCTTCATAGATCATGGCAAGAGTGGAAAAAGGCTCATGAGCAAGAGGAGCTGTGTAAAGACAAAAAGAATGATTAAGAACTATTGTTTTAAAATCACCTTGAAATCAAGTAACTTGCTGTTCCGCAAACAACAGGTATCAGAAGTATATGAAAAATCAACACTGCTCTGTTTAAATACAGAAAAAAGTTGCAGACGAGCTTCCAATACCTTTTCACAAATTATTAAACAGCCTGGCTGAACCTAATGACAACCATTTATAGCATTATTCTACACTGGAAATCATGCTGATGTTTATAACTCGGTTCTACAAAGACAATAAAAACAAACTGCGTAAAGCTAAGCAAAGGCCCAGGCCTCTGCAGAATCAGGGTGCCTGTTTCTTTTTATAAGCAAAATAATAAAGGAAATGCACTATACGTTCTTAATTCTACACTATTTATACAGTGCCTTTCCTTGTACTGAGTACTTTCATCATCAGTGAAGCCACACTGAATTTTCCTGATGCTCATGGCAATTTCATCCCTTCCTTAAAGCCAAAAAGTTTTGCCACTCTAACATACCTTGTCGAATGATTTCCATGCACATTAGAATAGCCTCCTCACGTTCTCCTCGAGCAAACCTGATATTGGCCTCTCCCATCAGACCCCTCAAGGCACGAGGAAGCTTGCTGCGAGGTCTCTTCTCCTAAATAGAAAGGGATATTGTTTCTACTGAGGATGCAGCTGTGCCCAAATTCAGGAGACATCAGTCACACTTATGCTTAACACAACCTAATAACAAGTTATTTAAGTACTAGTGATATTTAAATGACTGACCAAGTAATTTGATCATTTTCGTAACTGACAGAGTAACTCTGATATCTAACACAAACACAATCCGCACGCTGGAAAAACTCACTTCATTATTTTTGAAAGTTTTCAAAGAGTAATTTTCTAAAAAACAAAGACAGGCCACGCCAGCATAAGCAGAAGTACCCTACACAGAATTCCTTTCAGACAAGTTTCTCAACAAGTAGTTAAAAACACACAAATTGGCATTTATGCACTATGCTTCAGGAGATACAGGGAAGTTGCAAGGAAGTTTAAATACTTGCTTTCATCATTTTCTTGGTCTCTCGATTCAGTACCATCTCCAACACAAAAACATCTCCAGCTGTGGGTTGTTCAGTAGTTTCTTCTTCCTCTTCTTCTTCCTCGTCCTCTTCTTCCTCCTCCTCCTCCTCCTCCTCTTCATTTTCCCCAAGCATGGATGCAAAGACCCTATGAACAGATTTACTGACGCCATCTGAAGTTTCTCCTGGTTAAGAAAGAAGCAAAAAAGGTTTATGATATAATTGAGAGTACACGCTGCTTATCAGGACAAGTGCAGAGAAAACAGAATTCTTGGTAATTAGTAGCCCACTTTAAACATCTATTCTGTAATAAAAAGGCCTGCAAAAATGCAGGAAAACTATTAACAACCTCTTTGGTTTTAAAACTCTGCATTATTCACCACTAATACTTAGCATACCCCAGCCTCTAACATTTTTTGGATATTTGAAATGAATGCATGAAGGAAAACACAGAAAAAAGCAACAGTTTATTCAACATTTTTCTCAATCCATCTCTCTCCACCCACAAGAGAGAAGAGAAGTATATTAAGCAATTTTCGAGCACTGACCTGGTTGGATGGAATAAAGCTTTTCAGCTGAAGAGGCTAAATGAGCAGACAATTATGCTCAACAATAATGCAGCAACTAATTTTAAGAAGTAATTTAAAACAAGATCATGTAACCATTCTATCCACGACAAAAAGTACCTTTTAATGTGTATAAATGCAAAATCCAGATTATTCAAATTTCTCCAGAAGAAGAAATAACAAAAATTCATTAAAACAAATAAGAATATGATGCTATATATAAAAAATAAATACGCTTAAAGCATATAATTTAAAATATTTTCAAATTTTTTAATTACAACTTTTCATTACTAAATTAATCCAAGGTTATGACCACCCATAAGTCTGTATCTATGCAAAATATCATAATAGGGAGTATTGAAAGGTTTCAGCTGGGGGACTGAGCATCTAAAGGTTTGATAAAAGAATAACCACAGTATCAAGCTGGGATTGAAAAAATAAATCTGTCATGTATTGCCTATCTACAAAAAGGAACTGAGTACTACACCTGAGTTTATAGGGGTTTTTGGTTACTTTTTTTCTGACTTTGATATTAAGCATCTAAAAATGAAGACTTTTCTTTCCTCCATCCAAAAAACCCATATAAAATTCTTAATTTAATTTCTCTTATTTCAGTCTCCTTGGCTGCAGGAATCATCTGAAGATTCATGTATCAAAAATGATGTTAACAATGACCTTTTCTAATATTTTACTTCTGAATATCCTATGTCTGAACCTAATAGCAACTCTTTAAACAGTGAAAAATATTATCAATGCTTCTTTGATTTCTGAGTGCTCTTGAGACTTCTGTGTTCTCTGGAGGAAGAGCAGAAGTAGCACTATCACACAAATCTATAAGGATATGTTTTTTCTTAGATACAAGATGACATGCATGGAAAAACATGGAACAGACTGAATGGAATACAGAGCACTGAAGAACAGCTTGGAAGTATTTAAAAAGGAGGAGTCAATAAGGAATCACAGATATCTGGCTCCAGTCACACTTCCAGTGTTCATTTTCTGTCCCTCTAGGATGATGTCTGGCCATACTTTCAAAATCGAGGCATCACTGACACACGTTTTAGGCAAAACAATTTAATTTAAGACCTATTCCTGAAATTTAAGAGAAGACTAAAAAAAAAGAACAAACCTCAGAACAAAAGAACCAACACAAAGAGATAAAAAATTGCACTTTGCTATCTCACAGCATTGGCAATCCCACAAAAATATGTCCTGATGGGTGCATGGAGTACAGCTGAAGAGAAGGTGTCTGAAACACATCACAGCACTCTCAGTCCCAAGCTCAAATCCAGAACCTAAGGCATGGGATCAACAAGCACTGACACAAACTAAAGAGAGAAGTGCTGCTCCTACCACTTCCTGCAAGTCCTTTCACTATGTAGGAACCCCAAGGAAGTTAAGTTTATTTTGCTAAGGCATCTAAGGAGATATTACCATCCCAGTAACAGCACAAAGAAAGCCAGCCAGGGAATCTGTAGCTAGGAATATCCAGCAGAAAATAAGAAGAGAAATAAACATAGGCACTCTAAACAACCCTAAGGATAACTGAATAGGTAAAAAACCCCAGAAAACGACAAAAAAAACACACAAAAACCCAAAAAGAAAGAGGAAAAAAAATAAACTCCACTTTTTAGGTATTTTATGTCACTTTGGATAACAACGGAAGGTGGCAACACTCAAACAGTAGAATCAAATACTCTGAAACACTCAAGTCTTAGCAAAAGATTAGCAAAGAGATAAACAAGAAAAAAATACAAAACAGAAGACTTTCTGAGTCAAGTTAAAAACTTGAAATTATTTTTAACTTTAGAGAGAGTAAATAATTGAGACTATGTGGTTAAGAAGCCAGGAGGGGAAAAACGGAGGGCTTCCCATAAAAAGATGACCAGTTGGCCAGATACAGCCCCCTAAAAACAATGAACAAAGTTAAAGCCCTGGCTATGATTCAGAACATCCTACAAACATAAACATTCTATGAATGTGCTTCAACACCCCCAGGTTCAAAAGAAGTATCCAGGTATTTCTAAAATGTCAGCTACCAAAGAGCAAATGCTTTCAATGACCTTTTAAATACATATTTCACTGAAATAATTATGTTAATGTTTACCATCAGTTTCATCCTGACTTTGGGATTTTCCAGATGCTTTTCTGGATGAAGATGGAGCCTCTACATCTTCATCGGCATTCTCCTCAGCAGACGCATTTTCTCCATCCTACGCACACCAACAATATTAGTGATCAGCTCTATAACATGACTCATTCCTATTTCCCCCAGTATTTACAATTAGCATTTAGACTTTTACGGGTTTCCAGTTTTTGCACTGCTAGTGAAGCAGGTGGAATAAGCATTGTATTTTTAAACGAACAAAACCCAGCATTACTTGCTTTCAAGACATTTATATTCTTATTGATCTGAGGTGACTCAGATGGTGATTGTTCATATTACTTTTGACTGAAGAGACTAGTCCAATGTTTATTTGGCACTACGGTGAGGTAAGATGACATGCTTGACCTTATTTTAAAAAGTTACAAATGTGTGACAAATCCTTTTAGAAGCTTGCCTTTTTAAATACAGAATGAAATATCAAAATAGTGCTTGTTAATCCAGTAAGAAGGCTGTACTAGAATGTCTCTTGTCCTCCTGTGACTGCTGAGTTCCGCTGAATTTGCTCTCTGGAGACCAGGTAATACAGAAATTCAGTTGCATTTTGACATAAAAGATGGAGAAGTTGAAGTGAACTACAACATTCGAACCAAGCATATCGAATTCCTCAAAATACCTCCATGTCCTCACTATTAGACAGAAAGCTGTGTCTCCCTGGATTTACTGCAGCCAAGAAGCCACAAGGATTATGAGCAGGAGTCAAGCTCCAGCCTAAAGAAGAAGTTAATTACGGTGCCACTGGCTTCTGCCGGGCCCAGGGACGCAGGGCACAGCGGCACGGAGCAAAGCGCTGCCCTCTGCGCCCCTGAGCAACTCGCTCTACCAGCACCTACGGACCCTTACAAAGTAATTTCTTACAGTTTTTGCACAGAAATTAACAATTCCCGATACGGTAATCAACAGCCGAGGGCAGCAGCACTTAGCGCAAGCCCCCAGGCAGGCAGAGGCGAGAGGCAGAGGCGAGAGGCAGCCCCGCTGCTGCTGAGGCGCTCCCAGCGCTGCTGTCATGGCGGGAGCGGGCCGGGCCGGGCGCTGCGGGTGTCAGGCGGCGCAGACTCACCTTCTCGCGGCTCTTGCGCTCCTCTCGCCGCCGCTCGAACTCCTCGAAGGAGATCTTGCCCTCCAGGTAATCAATCAGCTCCGGGCTGAAGCCCGACATGGCACCGGCACCAACCGGGAGCGTGAGCAGCCGCAGCCCGTGCAGGGGAACCTTGTTCAGGGAAGGACGCGGGTCCGTCCCGTTATGGCGCCCGTCCCGCCCCGCGCCCTCACGCACGAGTTCCGCCCCAACAAGGGCCCCGTCCGGCGCTGCTGCCCTGGGGCCGGGGGAAGCATCAGCCCTCGGGAGCGGGCAGCGGGCGCGGTTTGGGCTGGAGCTCGCTGCCTCGGAGGGGCCAGTGGCCGAAGGGGGCGAGGGAAGCTCTTCTGTTACTGACCTGACTGTAAGATGTCAGATCATCTTTTATATCCTCAAAGAGGCGTTATCGTTACCCGAGAAAGGTCCCTTAACTTCATTCCCGCACACAGTGACCGTGCAGATGCCCTCCTGCCCGGGGCACGGCCAGAAACGGGTGTGAGGGGGGCAGGGGTCTCTGCCCCTTCCCTTCAGTCTCTTAAGAAACCAGAGGTACCTGAATAAAAATCCCTGCAAAACAGTCTATGACGCCTAGCTCCCATAAATCAAAAGGCAACATTTATTTACCAGTTTCAAAGAAAGACACTAGCAGTAGTTGAAAGCATAACATTGCACTCCTCGTTTATTATTCATGTTTAAACGAACACAATCCTGAGAGACAGGTCGTAGCAGCCAAACAGCACACACTTGTCAATAGACAGCAAATGTGCTAATTACACAGCATGACATCAGACTCCACAGGTAAAAACTGTGATAGTGAGGAAAATTTTAAATTGGCAGGTAACAATTAAAAAGTCAAAGCAGTAATATTTTTGCTGTGAAAGTTACCACTTCACATGAAGTTCAAAAGTTAATGCCTAGGAAAGAGAGAAAAAAGGAAAAAAAAAAAAAAAGGGATGTGAGATAAGTACAGAAATATTTGTATGCAACCAGGGTATGATCCAAACCAAGACCTGGTAACACTGGCTGAAATACTCCAGCAGACCTCTGTTTCAGAAAACAGCTTTGAACGCTGAGGAGAACTAATGTAATCATCCTGAATGATGTAGGACTAATTACTCACCGTTCCTGTAACTTACAGTAGAGCTATAGCATCCCCTCTAAAGTCCCTTTCCATTTATTTCTCATGAACCATATTCTGTGTGGTGCTTTTTTTTTTTTTTTTTCCTGACACAAAAACTTGGCAAAAGGAGAACTTCGTACTAAAATTTGAGTGCATTCTTCATTATTATTCATTATAATAAAAATAGTGGATCTGTGGTTTTGATTACAGAGAGATATATGCTTAAGCAGGCAGAGAGCAGGACAGAGCTAAAAATCCTAAGCTGAATATTGATCACAAATGAATCTCTAAGACACTGGGTAAATCACCAAAATGCTTAGATTCAAATCTTACTGAAACCTTCACCTATTTGTAAAATGGGAGAAAACAATTATCTACCTTTCCTCAGAACTGCCAGTATTCACTGACTCTCAAAATGAGGCATGAAAGGCTTTATTTGTTACAGAGTATGCTTATGCATAAATAGCTGAGAAGCACCTGCTATAAATTGAGGCTGGATTTATTAATAATGCAAGCTTGACCCACTTCAATTTTATTTCATATTTATGGAGAGATGTGAGTGAATGAGCTTGCCATCATTTTATTTAACCTTCAATTTTAGTCGTAAAAATAAGGAAAACAGTATGAATAGGCAAAGATGTAAATGATAATGTATGCTTTGTTAGTGCAATATCTTATGTCTACATTAGCTTTCTTAGTATACATACATCACAGGAAACTATTAGTCTCAATTTATAATTTTACTGATATCAATTACTTAAATAAAACCTGCATTCTCTATTATGTACATTTTCAGAATTCTTCTCCACATGAAAAAAAGGAAGAAGAAAAAACAAAAAGCATGGTCTGTATAGGTCTGCACAAGCACGTGTTATTTTACCAAACTAGTAAATACCTCACAAATCTCTACCTCAACAATTTTAAATTAACCTCAGGCAAGTGTTAAGGTGCTACATTTTCCATGTCCTCTAAAAAAGTAGACGCTTGTATACTTCAGACAGAAATAAGAATCACTCAAATCCACATCTTTCACTTGGTTACATGTAACAACATCAAAGGAAAAGGCATCCTCTTTTACCTTGGTCAGCTGCATCTTTCAGCCTTTGAAATAATTTGGAAAAGAATTTCTCCTTTCTTCATAATCTGCGAATGCAGAAGCAATAGGATCTGAGTAGAACATGACAGGCCTTGGTCCTTCATTGTTCATAGTGAAAGTAGCTGGGAACTTTCTGAGATCAAGACCTCTGCCCGAAAAGTAAGCCTGGAGCGTTCTGAAAAACTGAACGTATTTCATATGTGAAAATAGAGCATGCCCAACAAAGATTAATTATTGCTACTGACACAAAGTAAATGTAATATTTGTTCCTATGTGGGATGAAATCCTCTATTTTGATCATAAACTGGAACCACACAGGCATTATGATTCAGACATGTCCATTCCATGCATAGCTTGTACATCTTATGTGGTGTCCAAAGGCCACCAACTGTTTACTGACAATCTACGCTCCCCACTAAACCACAGAGGATTCAAACTGTATCCCTGTGTCCTGGTTTTTAGCTGGAACAGCTGGGTTTCTTTTTAGTGGCTAGAATAGTGCTGTGTTTTGCTTTCAGCCTGGGACTTGTTATGAGAGAGACACTGATAACACACCAGTGTTTGCATTTTTGTCGCTGGAAGTGAAGGACTTCGTGTTCTGTTAGTCTACAAGCGCAAGATCTAAGGGGGTGAAGAATATTTAAATTAATAAGTTAACTGGTGTTTGGGTATGCCAATGGGATGTTCCATATCATATCCCGTCATGTCCAGTATATTAATGAGGGTCTCTTCCTCTTTTGCTCTCTCTGGCTTTCGCTCAGGCTCTCGCTCTTCCAGGATTGTGGTTCTGATTCCAGATTGTTGCTCCTCCGGGATGGTTATCTGGGAAGGGGCCAGGTATAAAAGAGGCACAGCAAAATCCTTGCTGAGGGCAGACAGTACAGTTCTGTTACACATTCCTCTAAGAGAAATGTTCTCCAGGAGTTAACAACAGAGAGCAATTGATTTGAATGGGCCCCTTCCATTGCTTAAAAGTAGAAATTAATGCTTCTTAAAACAGTGAGGAAAAATTGTGGGAAACTAATTTTTTCCTTCACAAACTCCTTATAAGATCTTGCAAATGTTCCCTTCATATTTTCTTAGCTGTAATTAACTTTCAGATCTTTAGCCACTACTCACAGTGTGCCAGATGCAAAACTATTTGTACTTCCAGAAGATGAGACAACATGCAATTCATGCAATTAACAAGAGCACATGTTTGAGGGAAACATCATAATCATTCTTCTTCTGTTTCATAAAATGAGTGGTTGTATAAACAAAATACATTTTTAAACACTAAAGCTGCTGAATGGAGAAAAGGAAGTTTTAAGTACTACTGCACACCGAGAATGTCTCTTCAGTTAAGGAGTACATCTTGACTGAAGAATGTTCATCCAGTTGTGGTTATTGACTGCACAAAGTGCACAGTTACTAAAACTACATTTAATGGGCCCCTCAGCTTTAAATGTAGAAGACAAAAATTATCACAATGGAAAACACAAAACCTACACAAAACTTAGGCTATTTTTCTGGCAGTATTTCCTTACCAAATCTCTGTTTCTAGGGTTATCTAGAGGTTTCCATTTTTCTTCTGGTTGGAAAGGAGCACCCTTTGCCAATCCTCTCACAGCCAATACTGTATATAGACCCAGGAACACCACTTTCCACATGTCGAAGAGATGAAGAGCCTATCTGTAAGAAGAACAACGAACCAGACTCCTTAAGTCCTACAGAGCCATCACTGGTAACAAACAGAGCAAGCATGACAATCCAGTGAAGTGCTGAAAATAATAATAATTTATCCATGGCAAGGAAACCCTGCCTACTACAGATTACATCTGTGTGCTATGGACTTTTTGGTTTTATACTGATGTACTAGGAAGAACAAATTATTCTAAAGAAGTATTTCCCATACCAAAGTTATTTCTAGACACTGGATTCTCTTTTCAAAATGGAGTAGTATGACATTTAACACAAAATGTTTACATTTGTAAATTTACATTTGTTATCACATACAGCCATTTTAATCAGCTGATTAGTTACAGCATCAGATCTGATCTTTATGTGCTCCGTGGAGAATGCAAAAATATGGCCTGAGATACAAACAGCTCAATTTTTAAAATTATATGAAATGAAAGTGTATTACATATATTCATAAGTGCAATAATAATACAGCCTGGTATAATATACTAGAGACACATTTCACAACTTGATTCAAGGGGAAGAAAAAGAAAAAAAAAATCATTCTCTCCTTCATGTTCTTTAAAATAAAGCTTACCAGTGAATTTGGCTCTGGCTTGCCCCTTCTTGGTTAGTCTCCTTGTAATCTGTGAACGAACTGATCTCTGCACTTATATTTCTAGTGGACTGTAGGTGGGTGTCAATGACGTTAGTAGGAGTTCAAAAATACAGTAATGATTCCATTTCCATCCATGACATAAAGACCCTTGAGAATTTCATCCTTAATACTCTTAAGACCTGTTGCTATTGAACAGTGCAGTGCAAATTCCTCCTCCCTAAGCTGTATTGCAGAAAACTGGTCATAAGCATATAATAAATTTAAAACAATTCCCAGCAGAGATAGCAGAGCTGTATAAATATTACTTTTAATTAAAAGTAATTAGCCATATCTCTAGAATGGTGACTAACAGATAATTACAGCTGGTTGAATGGTTTTCAAGCAAGATGAGATATGGATCATTTTCTTGATGCTGGAGAGAGAGAGAAAAGTAAGGTGTGTCTCAAGATCCAAAATCGTATTATTTTAATTAAGGCATTGCTTTCCTACCCTGATTTTATCAGCAGTCAATATCCTCCTGTCAGACTAGAAACTAAGACAAAGACTGCAAGGAGGACTATGCTAATTTACTTTGGCCTTATTTCATA